TTTGGTGGGGGGACAGGGAGGGCAGTGTCTTGCTCTGTCACCCTGGCTGGAGTACTGTAGTGCAATCTCAGCTCACTGCAATGTCCACCTCCTGAGTTCAAGTGATTCTTGTGCCTCCCGCTCCCAGGGAGCTGGGATTACAGGCGTGCACCACCATGCCTGGCTAATTTTTGTATTTTTAGTAGAGATGAGGTTTCACCAATGTTGGCCAGGCTGGTCTCTAACTCCTGGTCTCAAGTGAACCGCCTATCTCAGCCTCCCAAAGTGCTAGGATTTCAGGCTTGAACCACTGTGCCTTACTTTCTGTTTCTTTTACTTATTTGTATCTTAGAAATGAGGTCTTGCTATGTTGCTCAGGCTGGATTCAAACTTCTGGGTTCAAACTGTGCCTTACTTTCTGTTTCTTTTACTTATTTGTATCTTAGAAATGAGGTCTTGCTATGTTGCTCAGGCTGGATTCAAACTTCTGGGTTCAAGGGATCCGCCCACCTCAGCCTCTCAAGTAGCTGGGACTGCGGGCTTGTGCCACCGCTCCCTTTTATTCAAGAGCAGTCATCTGTTGTGTTTGTTTTAGGACAATAATTTTTTGAAGAGACTGAGTTGTCTTATAAAATGTCCCACATCTGGATTTGTGGAATTGTTTTATATGCCCGATATCCTATAAACTTAAATCTAATTTTCAGCTTGGTTAGATTTAGGTTAGACTTTTTTATGTAAATATTTTATAGGTGATACTGTGTAATTCGTATTATATATATGCAGTGTCTCATTGGTTGTTGCCCATCTATAAAATAATTGAAAATTTTATCACTGGGTTATAGTGGTAACAGCCAAAGCTCTCATTTTTGAGGTAAGGTTTTCCCTTTGCAATGAATTAAGTAATCTATGTGATAACTCTGACACCTTGTGACTATTTCCACACCAACCATTCACGTAGTAATTTAAGCATAGATTAAAGATCCTTCCCTGAATCAATTGTTTCACTAGGGTTTACACATTAATTTAATACTATCTTTCTACATTTATTAACCAGCATTCTTTTGTAGAGGAGAACTTTTCTAAACTAGAGCTATTAGATTACACTATTTAGGAGTTACTACTTAATAGGATAAATGCTTAATTCTGTCTCTTTTTCAGAATAGAGACTTGGTGCAGTAATAATTCCCAATACTGGTAAATTGCTGTTGGGTAAATGTTGCTGTTACTTTCTCTTTTGAGTACCATTATTTTACCTGATCTTTAAATGTCATTTGTTATTGACTCAGCATTTCTTCCTTTGCCATCTTAACCTTTTCCGAAGGCTTCATGTTAAGTACTCAATATGTGTTTGTTGAATGGTAGATGGAAAGAAGAAACTGAATCTGCACTTTTTGAGCATGTATGAATATTTATTTTTCTGAGGAGAAAGTCCATACCTTGTATCAAATTTTCTGAAGGGTACCTGAGAGACAAATGAGAAACTAACGTTTTGGGGAGACTGCATTCTCTGATTCCAGAACTGGTAAACCTCTAACTCTGTAACATGACTAGAGGTAAACTCATCTCAAAATCTCATTTTAAAAACTTATTTATAAACCCTTTATTGGCCGGGCACGGTGGCTCACGCCTGTAATCTCAACACTTTGGGAGGCCGAGGCAGGCGGATCACGAGGTCAGGAGATCAAGACCTTACTGGCTAACATGGTGAAACCCCATCTCTACTAAAAATACAAAAAATTAGCCGGGCATGGTGGCGGGTGCCTATAGTCCCAGCTACTCAGGAGGCTGAGGCAGGAGAATGGTGTGAACCTACAAGGCGGAGCTTTCAGTGAGCTGAGATCATGCCACCGCACTCCAGCGTGGGTGACAGAGCGAGACTCCATC